GATTTAAAACATTTCACTCTTCTTTAGGTTACCTTCAACTAGGATTTGAGCTGTATCTCAATTTTAGTTATGTATTTAAATGGAATATTAAGAAACATCTTACCTATATATATATATATATATATTTTTTTTTTTTTTTTTTTTTTTAGGTAGCTGATCGTCTTTTTTCATCATTTGGACAAGATATATTAGATGCTCTCTATTGGACAGCAACAGAGCCTAAAGAAAGAAAAAGAGCCCACATTGGGGTGATTCCTCACTTTTTCATGGCTGTTCTCTATGTCTGTATCCTTATAGACTTGCTGGAAATTCCAACAGTTAATGCATAGTCTACCTTATTTTATTCGGCTAGCCATTTCATAGATTTATAGATAGATAATGTGTTTATCCTGAAGATTAATGTGAAACATCTGCATTCTTTTGATAAATTGGTTGTCATAATAATTGTAATTAATTTAAGGAGCCTCATGTATGCATTACTCTTTGAACTGCTGGAAAACAGTTCTATTTTCATTGTAACTGATTATAAGGCAGAATTTTATAATAAAAAAGCAGTATATTTTTATACATGCCTTACATTTACATAGATCTATATAACTTTTTCATACTTACTAGATTTTTTCTTGAAGTTATCTTTAAATCTGGGAATTCTTTTTTATAACCTTGGGCTTAAAATGCATAGAATTTATCTAAAAGTAAAATGTGAAATTGGTTGGGAGGAGTTTTGCTGGTTTTATGTGTTTGTGTATTCATCCCTGGCTTAAAGCTTTTCTATTAGAGAGTAAATGCTTTACTGTATAAGCAGTGTACATGTTTGTGTGTACTCATACATATTTATGCACACATTTCTGCTCTTAAGTTCCATGTGAAGTCAGGACTCATTCACGAGAATGTGCCACATTTTTTTTTCCTGCCTGTAAAAGAGTGACATTTGAAAGAAATTGGGTTAATACTTGGAAAGTTAAAGAACCAAGTGGGAAGATGCCTGTGAGGGAAAAACTTGTTCCAGTGTTAATGGAGTAAAGCAGTTACCACTCTTAGATATAAATTAACTATGCTGTATGTAATATAAATAGAATTCTGCAGTTTACGGATATCTTCAAAATGGCATATGAAGAAGAATCTTAATTATCAGATATTTCTTACGGCCTTAAATTCCTGTCTCTGTAAGAGTGACATTTTAATTATCAGATATTTCTTACTGCCTTACATTCTACACTTTCCAAAGAAGTAGGGAAGAAAATCACTTCCAGACTTTTATTTTGTGCTTTCTTTTTTAGAATGCATATTATCTTAATTCAGAATGTATATTTCTAAGTCTCTTTTTTCAGCACCTACCATAATTTATTCCATTTACTTAACAAACTTTTTTGAGGACCTATTTCCTGAGCACTGTGCAAAGTGCCAGAGATAGAGAAAGAACAAAACAACCCTGTTCCAAAGGATTCATGGTCTAAATAAATGAATGCATAGAGGTACTTTCTACTTTGGTTTGTTTCATGTAGATTGCACATATCCTGTCAAATTTATATCAACTATAGCTAATAGGGAAATTATTAAGATAATAAAATACTTATGTAAGATTATTTAGAAAACATCATTTTCTTTCTCTGTTATTCACTTTCAAAATATTATAGTTTATCAGAAATAATATAATATTTATAATAATATAATATAATATCAGAAGGCAAATTTAAGTTTTTCCTTGACCTTCAATTAGTTTTGCATGCGATTCTTATAATGGTTCAAGCAACAACTCTTAATGTAGCTTTTAACTCACACAACAAGTCTTTGCTTACTATCATGATGTCTAATAATGTAAGTATAAGATTTATTTTATATTTTTGAAGTTATACGGGCATTTCAGCTGCAATACTTCTGGGTGGGATAAGATTCTTTGTTCTATATGTTATTCTCCTGGAAGTTTTACAGGTAACAAGTCCAGTTTTTAAACTGTTATAATGATAAAGATGGTATTTCTGTTTACTGTTTCAGTTTGTTGAAATTAAAGGAAGTGTTTTCAAGAAGTTTGAAAAGAACAATCTCTTTCAAATGTCAAATAGCGGTATGTACACTTAGATTCTACTTGCAGTCCTGTGCAGTATTATTTTGCAGTTCATTTGAAAACCCTAATGGCACATTTTCTCTGGTTCACTCTTTCTTCAACTTAAATTTTACCGTTTCTTATGCTATCAACATCTTTACTAGGTTTTATTATCATCTTTGGTTACTGTAATCACAAGATGTTTGAGATAAAAAATTAGAAGCATTTGTGTAGCACGATACCATACTTAGAGAAGCTTCTTAATAATCTGGAAATTTCTCTGAAATGGGTGGTGTTATTCATTTTATAGATATGAAAACTGAAACACGAGGATATAATTTGACTTCCCCCACAATCACATAGCTTCTAGGAGAATTATGACTGTAAATCTAAGATTGTCTGTAGGTCCTTAGCTTTTTTGGCTAAGTTTACTGCCTTCATTCTAATCCTACAAAGTGTGAAGGCACAAAATTTGTGCCTAGAGTTGCTGTGTAATATAGTTTTGAAAGCCAGAGCAGCGAAGTGTGGTGGATCATGGAGCCCTCAAGAACAGTCCCAGAGGCTCTGCCAGTCAGTGCTCCAAGTCAAAAGTGTTCTCACAAGATTATGAAGACATTATCTGTCTCTTCTGCCATGGTGACAGTTGCATTAGTCATGAAAAAATGATGGTGTTTTAGCATGAATTTAGACAGATGTAGGATAGAGAGGACCCATAAAGGAACCTAGCTTGGTGACATCCTTGAGGAAGGTGAGTTGTGTCACGGGGGAGGTATGCAGGCTGGTCATAGATAAGAGCACACATAACTCATCCAAAGCAGCACTTGTCAGACTTTTTGGTCTTGGGACCCTTTTGCACACTTTAAAAAGTGTGATGATCAACTGGGTGTGGTGGCTCACACTTGTAATCTCAGCACTTTGGGCAGCCGAGGTGGGTGGATCACCTGAGTCAGGAATTCAAGACCAGCCTGGCCAACATGGAAAACCTCTTCTGTACTAAAAATACCAAAATAAACCAGGTGTGGTGGTGGACGCCTGTAATCCCAGCTACTCGGGAGACAGGCGGGAGAATTGCTTGAACCTGGGAGGCAGAGATTGCAGTGAGTAGAGATTGCACCATAGTGATAAAAATTTCGCTCTTGTCACTCCAGCCGGTGACAAGAGCGAAATTCCATCTAACAAAAAAAAAAAAAAAGAAAAGAAAGTAGAGATGATCTCAGAGGAGTTTATTTATATGGATTATGTCTCTCGCTATTCGCCATATTCAAAATTAAAACTGAGAAGTTTTAATAAAAATATTACATGCTTACAAAAATAACATTTCAATAAAAAAGATATTTTCTAAAACAAAATTTAGTGAGAAGAGTTTTTCTTTTTTTTTTTTTTTTTTTCCCATTTATTTATTTTATTGCATTTTAGGTTTTGGGGTACATGTGAAGAACATGCAAAATTGTTGCATAGGTACACACGTGGCAGTGTGATTTGCTGCCTTCCTCCCCATCACCTACATCTGGCATTTCTCCCCTTGCTATCTCTCCCCAGCTTCCCACCCCCCAGAAGAGTTTTTCAACAAGTAATGCTGGAACAGTTGAGTAAAGATTAAAAAAAGAACTTTGGGTCCTCCCCTGCCCGAGAAAATTAATTCATAGGGGTTCCTAGCCCTAACCATAAATACTAAAATTATAAAACTGCTAGAACAAAATACAAGATAATTTATTCACAATCTTGGTCTAGGCAAACATTTTTAGAGACCACCCAAAAAGCACTAACTATAAAACAAAAGAGAGAAACTGGACTTCTTTAAAATTAAAATGTATGCTCATAAAATTTAAAAAGTGAAAAGGCAAGCCACAGTACTAAGAGAAAAGATTTGAGGTGCATATATCTGACAAGGGATTTTTTTTTTTTTCTGAACATATAACAAATTCTACCAATCAATAATGAAAGGACAATCCAGTTTTAAAATGGGGAAAAGACTTGAACAGACATTTCACAAAAGAAAAATCTATAAATATCCAATGAGCTCATGAAATGCCATTCAGCATTATTAGGGAAAATGTCATTGGAGAAATACAAAGTAAAGCCATAATGAGATAACACTGCACATCCTCCAGAATGACTGCTCATATAGCCTGATAGTGCCACAAGTTAGTGAAGATATGGAGTAACTGGCACTCTCATGCATCGATGGTGTGTGTGTAAAGTATTACAGCTGCTCTGGAAAAGTTTTTGGCCATTTCTTATAACAGTTAACTGTTCACCTGCCCTATATTTCAGCTCTGAGAACATATTTTCTCAGTAGAGCTTATGCAAGAATTATGGCAGCTTTGTTCATACTAGCCAAAAACTGGAAACAACCCAAATATCTATCATTAGGAAAATAAGCAAATTGGATGTCCATACCATAGAATACCACTCAGCAATTAAAGATAAAAGAATGAATTCCTAGTATTTTCAACTATGCAGATCTCAAAAGAATTACGTTTAGCAGAAAAGCCAGAAACAAAAATGTACATAATGTATGATTTCATTTACTTGAGGTTTATGATCAGATAAAATTCATTTACAATGACAGAAATAAGTGAGGTTTCTTATTGGGGATGTGGATTTACTAGGGGGATTCAAAGAAGCTTTCTGGATGATGGAACTTCTATATTTTAATTAAGGGCTTGGTGTCACAAATTATACATTGATGAGAACTCATTGCATTGTATACTTAAGATCTGTGAATTTCACTGTATGTAAAATTTACCTGTATATTAGACAAGGAAAATAACGGCATATGAATATAGTAAAACAAATTATAGGAGATTTGAAAACTAGCAAGGAACAAAAAGAGCAAGTGGACAAATGGAAAACTTGAACATAAAGCCTAGATGATTCTATGAGACCATGCTGGACTTGAATCTCAAAGCTCTGAGGGCAGTTCATATTCTTGCTGCTTATTAATGTTTCTCACCTTCAAGTGCAGACTGCCAAGTGTCCTGAAGTTGAAATGAAAGAGGAAGAAGGGAAGGGACTAAATTATAGAATACTTTGCTTCAATAGTTAACCATAGAGTAAATTGATTCAACTATAACAATTTCATTTGTTATAGAAACCATGTATTTTTTTTTAAATTAATTCATATTATTAGCCTCCTTGGGGTAAGTGCTCTTTATAGAGCCTTGAACTAGACATGCAGATCTTAAGTTTTAAGAGTTTTCAATTCTTGTGTATAAAAGCCTCAAAATTATGAGGAGGAAATTGTAAATGGTTTTTAACCTCATGGCCAGCATGTTAATGTAATTAATACCCCTTTTCATTTCTATAAATGGGTCCTCCAGAATTCCAGCCTCTTCGCTTAGAAAGATTAGGGATTCAGTTGTTGAATTTTTAGAAAACACTGCAAAAAAAAAAAAAAAATGATATGATCAAGTATGTATATCAGTTCACAAGAAATTCAGGACTTTATTTTGGCTTAAAATGGTTAGTACTTAGCACCAAAAAAAGTATTACTTTTTGCTATAAGCAAAATAGCTCATGTTACAATGCAAGGTGGTCTGCATTGTATCCTTTAAGAGTATTATAAGAAATTAGCTTTACCCTAAGGTAGATTTTAAAACCCTTCCCAAGTAAGAAAAAAAGAAATCTAGGCAATCTTGCTAACATTGCACGTAACATTCAGCTATTAAAAGGGAAAGATCTGGAGTCACCAAGAGCTGCTTTTTACTCTTGATAACAATATGTTGCCTCCTTCATATGCTTTAATAGTAGCTACTTGATGAGAGCCAGTCAGCAGGGATACTCATATCGGCTATTGTTTTCTTATAAATTTTCCTAGGAATTTTTTCTCCATCAGAAGTTGAGTTCCCAGATACGTAGTGTAAGGTTCAATCCTTCATGCTGGTTTAATATGGAAGACTTCATGGAGAAATCTGAGAGTAATTTTACCCCTTTCAGTGGTAGTTCACTGTATATTTTCTTTAGAGGAATTGCCTGAGGCAATGTGAAAAGTAATGTGATTAATAAAACCAGGCTTTTAACAACTTATCCTTTTCTTCACTTCGTTTTAACACAAGCACCAGCTGAGTGTCGAACCTCAGCCTTTCTGGTTTGCATTCTTGAGATGAAGAATTTTAGGTAGTTTTTTACCCATTGGTAATGTGAACTGTGCATATAGAAAGGTCCTTCAGGAGTTGAGTTATCTGAAGTAAGCTTCTTGCTCACTTGACACTCTTAGAAGCCAGCATACCTGCAATAAGTGTGGATATTTGTTGGAAATAGTCACTCATGTTATATTTAAAATGTGACTGCAAGTATGTTAAAGTATATCCCTTTTAATGGTAATACAGCAAGGAAAAAGCTTAATAATCTGAATATCAGAAACATTTTAAAAGCATTAATACCAGTGTTTTTAAGCTTCTTAATAAAGGGTTAGGAGAAAACGTTCCCATTTTCTTAGAAATTTTGATTTTTTTTTTAATCAATGTAACAGTTCAATTTTAATCAGAACCCTGACTATTTTAAAGATGAGGTATGGTATAAATATGTTACTGATTGCATTATTTAATGTGTGTTAGATTATCAGTATCAGACTTTTATTTCTTTTAGTATCTTATTTTGGAGAAGCTTAAAATTTGGGTATTTTTTAGCTCAAATTTTAAAAGTCAAATCTTGATTTTATAATGTCTATATAAAACATTTAAATGTAAAAGTTGTGAAAGTGTAAAAATAAAACTTTTTAAAACATCTTCACATAACAGCCTCATTTTTATAGTTCGATATAGTTTTATATCTTCATCTTATCAAATAAAGATTAGTTATTTTTATGGTATCACTTTTTAATCTTTAAGCTTACCATCCTTCACATCTTTCATCTTATAAAATTGTATTTATTTACCATGTTTATCAATTTCTATTAATCTCTATCGTATTTTGAAATAGTCCGCTTTTCTAAGATCTGTTTTGGGCCAGGTTTAGTCTCTCACACCTGTAATCCCAGCGCTTTGGGAGGCCAAGGCAGGCAGATCACCTGAGATCAGGAGTTCGAGACTGTCAGGGTCTTTCCCACAGACCCCAGCTGCACAACACATGAATAAATGCACTCAGACACAAATTTCCAGGGAACAAATGGGCTAGGGGGCTGTGAGCCACTCACAGAGAGAGATCGCAGCTACATGACACTACTTTGCTCTCTCCACATTTATTCAGTATAGATTTGATAACAGAGGCTCTAAGTCAACACACTTGTGGGAAAAGATTAAAGGCCAGGTTCCAAGCCCAAAGCAAACACCATTATAAACAGAGTAATCTCCCTGGTTGACCTACCCGCAAGAGGGCCATTCAGCTCTCAAGGGTTAGTTTTAAGACCATGTTAGTAAATAAGTTATTCAGATAAACTCCACCACATAGCCTAGCTATTTGCTTTTCTTATTAACTAAATGTAAAGGGGATTTAGGCGGCTTTCAGACGAAACTTCTACTGAAACTATGCAAAAACCTCTCAGCCCTCCAAGAAGGTTTGTGATTATTCCTTAAAGCTATCTCTAATTTTTTTTTTCTTTTTAATATTTTTGCCACCACCCTGACTGAACTCCCACAGAGACCAGCCTGGCCAACATGGTGAAATCCTGTCTCTACTGAAAATACAAAAACTAGCCGGCACGGTGGTGCATCCCTGTAATCCCAGCTACTCCAGAGGGTGAGGCAGGAGACTTGCTTGAACCAGGAGGTAGAGGTTTCAGTGAGCCGAGATTGCGTCACTGCACTCCAGTCTGGGAGACAGATCAAGACTCTTGTCTCAAAATAATAAAAAATAAAATAAATATATTTAGCCATAGATATACCTTTAATAAGATAGGTTTTTCCGCTTTCATCAGTATCCTTTGAAATGAAATGATTTCAGATTTTCCCTGTACTTGGAGCTGCGATGTGTCCAAAAATCAAGTATAATCAATTTAAATTCTACGTTGGTTTTGCTTTGTTATATTAGAGTTTACAAAAAAAGTTACTTTGGCTCATTTCAAATAGTGTTTTAAATTTCTCAAGGCCATTTATTTTCATATAATTCTGTAATGAAGCAAGTCCATATTATATATTCATGTTTGGGAAGCATCAAAAAATAAATACGTTTCTTTGTTAAATTCATTTATGGAAATGAGAAAGGACTTAGCACACATACAGGTATAGCTCTGTGAATAATTCTACAGAATTCCAATTACTGGCAAATTTATACCCTGTGAATTAAGATCCACAGTTAACTCTAGTAACAAATAATATATCTTGTGTCAGACTTTGAGGAACTTATTCTAGGGCAGACTTTTCTTATTTCCTTTAACCTGTATCCTCTTTTGAAGTCACCGAATAAATTAAACATGTGATCTATAATGAGTCAAAACAGGTGCACCTGAAAACTGCACATGGACTTGCTCCAGATGTGCCCAGCCTCCTAAGCATCTCAGTGCTTGGCACCTTGAGACTCACTGTGCCCTGAGCTCACGCTCCAAAACACAGTACTGCATAATGAATGGTGCTTCAGCTTTGTAAATAGGAAGCAAGTAGTGCCCACTGGACTTTGAGGGAGTGAAGACACAGCTCAAACCCATCAGTAATAAGGAGCTGAGCTACCCTGGGAAAGAAGGTATCAGCAGCTGACTGGAAGAACTTAAAGATGTAGGGAAAGTACAGAGAATAAAGGCCAACTCACTTATAGAAAAGGAGGTTTTGCTGTGGAATAAAAGTTAGTATCATGTTGCTAGAGAATAATGGGGAAAGGTGAAAGTAAAAAAAGAAAAGCAAAGAAGGTCCCGTGAAGTACATCAGGATTAAAATGAAATTCAGAGCACTTATAGGAGGTGCACCATGGCTGAATGATATGGGTGAGGCTTGAAGCAATTACTGAGGTAGTGGGAAAGTAGGGAAATGACAGCAGAGTGTAAAAAAGCTTTTGAGATGGGTTGTTATATGAGTGATTCTTTCTAGTCACAGCCCCCCCATTACATAGACACACATACATGGGTGTGCCACTCTTACTGCAGACAGATTTATTGTGTCCCCTTTCTTGATTACACAGTATCTTAGACTGTGAGAAAGTTAACAGCTTAAAAAGTGAAATGTGTACACTGGCCATTAGCAGGAATTCAGTGATTTGCTTTTATTAAATCCATTCCACGTAATCTCAGCACATAGTTATTAGTTTATGGGAAATACTATGAAGCCCAATTTGGGGTTATTTTCCCTCAAGTTCTACATACACCCTAAGAAATGCTATCGTAGTAGCAGGATTCTCTCAGCTAAAGGATTCATCAGTTCAGTAATTGTGTACTTACTATTTACCAGACTGGAAATAGTCTGGGATTTTATACAGGGATTTTGTTACCCAAAATCTTGTATTTTACTCCTTGCTTCTCTTTTTTCTTCTGTAAAATGGAAACAGTTGTCATATGTCTCCAAAGACCATTGGAGGAATCTAGTGACCCAGTCTGGGCAGTTTGATGGTTTGAATACTTTTTGAAGTTTATAGAAAACTGGAATTTCCATACTAGAATTATGTTGGCAAAAGAAGTCAATGGCTTATCAAGGTAGACTTGCCTATATATATACACACACATATATATATATATACACATATATATAAAGTTGTATATTTTATAGACATTTATACATCTAATAATTTCATCATGTTCTGGCTAAAAGAATTGTTTTATATATGTACTTTATTATGTTGTTTATATACACTATAGTACTTACATGTTGATTTTTTTTTTTTCTAGATATTAAGGAACGATTCACAAATTATGTGCTTTTACTGATAGTGTGTCTAAGAAACATGGAACAGTTTTCTTGGAATCCAGGTAATTCACTCCTAACAAAACAGCATCTTACAATTTTACTTCTAAGCCAAAATCATTCCTTTACCTGGAATAAAATGAATATTGCAGAAAACTTCAAAAGACTTTGGTTGTTTTACTGGTTGGGTATTGGAGAAATAATCATCTGCCACATAATGACCTTTCAGCCAACAACAGACCACATACACAACGGTGGTCCCATAAAATTCTAATGGACCTGAAAAATTCCTGTCACCTAATCTCCTAGTGTCCTTTTCTATGTTAAGACGTGTTTAGATACACTTACCATTGTGTTACAGTTGCCTACAGTATTCATTATGTAACATGCTGTACAGGTTTGTAGCCTAGGAGCAATAATTTATACCATATAGTCTGGGTATGTAGTTATACCATCTAGGTTTGTGTAAGTACCTTCTACGATGTTCACACAATGACAGAATTCCCTAACAACACATTTCTCAGAATGTATCCTGTTGCTGAGCGACCCATGACTGTACTGTTTCAGTAGAATAGATTGAGTATGTTTTCTGTGGTGTGGTGGGATGCTGTCATTTCCCTTAAACTCACATTGGCTCTGTTGCTTTATACTCAGTAGGTGAGTATGCTCTGCTATACCTGGCAGCTCTGAGCCTCTCTGTTTTTAACCTTAGCGTGCTTTAGTTACCTAAATCCAAAAAGATCATTTTCATCTTAGGGATTGACCAGAAGAACCTTTGCCCTTCCCTAATGTTTGTCTTTTACCCATCAATTAGCATTTTAAATAGGGATAAATTAAACATAAAACAAAGTGGAAATTTTGCTACTTAGGTGCATCTCTAAAGTCAGGCTGACAGGAAATTGTCAAGATTCCGTGAATTTTCATCATCCATTCAGTTACCAGACATTGACTGAGTGTATGCTAGTTTCTAGGCACAAGGGCAGGCACTGACAAATGTGAGAAAAAAATAAATAAATAAGACATTTGTAGGACTTACAGGCTAATAGGGGAAATGGGTAATTATAATGCTGAAGTGAGCTGGGGGAAAATGATCAGTTTCTCAGGTATCTCAAGTAATTTATAGAGTTTTTGTTTGAATGTCTGATGTTTTTGTTGGAATTTCATTCTTAAGGGATGAGACCATGTTTGCATTTCATTTATTCCCAATATGTATGTTATAAGCATTTTTTATTTCTTATTAATTTAATTCATTGGTAATTTTTAACTACCTGTGAAAAAATCAGAAACATACAAAATGAGGTATATGCTTTTGGAGATACATTTTCAAAAGTTATTTTCATAGAGAAACCGTAAGATCTGACAGCAGCTTAAGTTCTAATCCAAAGGCTCCCTGGCTTGTGGTAGAAAAGCCTCTTCCTGCACACACACAGCTAGATTCTTTGTGTGCCATATTTCTTTAGTGCATGGTGCTATATTTCTTTATAACTAAGTCACCTAATGGTGTCCATGAAGGACAGAGTGGGTACGCGTCACTGGTTCCAGTGGAGAGCACGTAGGATCAGCAATTCCCAAAGCAGAGTTGTTAAACCAAAGGACAAATAGTCCTTATGCCTCCTGGACAGCTGGATATTTGAAGTCATATTTTCATTTATACTATGACTTTTAATACATTATGTTGTCTCCTTTATTAGTACTATGGCAGATAGTATGATAAAAGGAGCACTAGCTTTTAACGATGAATTCACCTATTTCACCCCTTTTTTTAGGTTTATTAACATTTCATTAAAAAAAACAAAATGCCATTTATGGAAGCTTGCTCCAAGTTCTCAGGGTCATTAGGAACATAAACAGTACTAGACCATTTTGTATGCCAGGCACATTGTTGTGCACCATTATGTGTCATTTAGTTCTCATAATAATTAAGTGTAGGCACTTACTATCGTTTATCTTGTGGTTGAGGAAGTTGGAATTTAGCTAATTAAGAAACTTGCCCTTTGCCAGTGATGTAGATTCAAAAAAAAAAAAAAACTTGCCCAAGGTCATATAGCAGTTAGTAGCAGAGCTGATTGGTGAAAGAGGTCCCTTGATTTCTAAAACCTAATGCGATGCCAGACTCACAGAAGCTGCCTGTACTGTCAGCCAGGATAGCCCAGCTATGTGGTCTCCATCCCACCCTCTGGCTACCTGGGTCTTGTGTTGCTGTGGGTCCTTGTCAGCATTTCTCCTTATTTTTTTTTGCTGTGTCCCACTCTTACATTCTTTTCCAAGTTCTTAGGAGATTGTCTGTGGGACTGTTTTATCAGTTGCCTGGAACTGAGTTGGCATTTTTAAAAAAATTTTTTTATTGATGTATAATAGATGTGCATAGTTTGGGTGTGCAAGTGATAATTTAATGCATTCATATAATTTGTGAAGATCAAATCAGTGTACTTGGGATATCCAGCACCTTAAATATTTGTCTTTTCTTTTTGTTAGAACCAGTCAAATTCTCTCTTCTACCTATTTTGAAATACACAGTAGATTATTGTAAACTACAGTTACTCTGCTTATCTATCTAACACTAGGTCTTATTTGAATAGACATTTTAATAAATGTCATAATGGTGAGCAAATTTAACAGGTTAACATCTGTATGACAGCGAAACAAAGGACTGATCAATATCTTTAATTTGTATTGATCAAAGAAGGAGATTGCTCAGTTGACTATAGCACATCTTTGCTAGCTATTTTCTGTCACATTGAGGCATCTATGGAATTAAAGAATTTTCTAAGGAACCTGCTTAATCTAGTCATCCCATCAGCATGTCAGCACATAGGCTTCATGAAGGCAGAGGCTCTCTGCTAAACCACGAGAACCTACATGTAAAGCAGTGCTTGGAACATAGAAAGTACTGAATAAATATTTGAGTTTGTTGTTGTTGTTTGAGATGGAGTCACTCTGTCACCCAGACTGGAGTGCAGTGGCGGGATCTTGGCTCACTGCATCCTCTACCTCCTGGGTTCAAGCAGTTCTCCTACCTCAGCCTCCTGAGTAGCTGGGTCTACAGGTGCACACCACTATGCCCAGCTAATTTTTGTATTTTTAGTAGAGACAGAGTTTTGCCATGTTGGCCAGGCTGGTCTCAAACTCCTGACCTCAGATGATCCAAAATGCTGGGATTACAGACGTGAGCTACCATGCTGGGCCTGAATAAATATTTGTTGAATGAAGTATCCTTTAACTTGATATAGTATAGCTCTTTTGATAAAGGTTATAATTGAATGCTAGTTCATCATTTACTGAAAATATTACATTTACTGAAAATATTTTATTGTTTTTCTGTTTTCTATTTGTAGATCATCTCTGGGTGTTGTTTCCAGATGTCTGTATGGTAATTGCATCAGAAATTGCCGTGGATATTGTAAAACATGCCTTTATCACCAAATTCAATGACATTACTGCAGATGTATGTATTTTGACATGGACTTCAATGTTTAAAGTTTACTTCTGCTGCTTAATTTTAAAAAGTTGTAGAATAATAGGGATTTGTTAATACTTTAAATTTTGTCAGAATTGTAATTTTAAGTTTCTAAAAATTATTACACTACTGAAAGTATTCTCTTATAGTAGGCAATGCTAATTCCATATCTTGGGGTAGAAGTACAGTGTCACTAACTCAAAATTATCTTTATAGTTAACACTGTCATAATCTGTTTAAAGACTTTAAAATCACATTGTTTCTATTTTAAAACTTAGACCATCAAAACTTTTCTCTCTGGCTAGGTTTTTTGTTTGTTTGTTTGTTTTCTGGCTAGGTCTAAAAAATTTTTTTTTAAATCAATATTTTTCCATGGTTATAAATAGATTCCTGCTAAGTTTTAGAAGACAAGAGCCTTACATTTTTCTGGTGAAAGTGTTTGCTGAAACTTTGAGAAATTTTTATGCTCTAACCAGGTATTCTGGAGAATTTCTAGAAATAGATATGTGGCTATAGTTTTCTTGCATGTAAAATATAAGAAAGTTTCCTAATGTATTCCTCATTCCTACCTTAGTCCCAAAATAAATAGTAGTTTGGCAGTTTTCTAGATTGTACTGGGTGGTACTTATGACAGTCTCACTCTACTATTTGTTTTATTTCAAAGGGCAATTATTTAAAATAAAATACAGTTGTAACAGCTATGATTTGATTATGAGTTTTTGAATGTTTTAATATTCTTAAATGCAGTTTTGCACTTTTATGTAAAACACTGATAAAGTAATTTCACCATTTACTTTCTCAATTTTCTCAATGCAGAATGACTCTCTTTTCATAGGATCATTTATTTAGCATCTGAAGTCAAAATTAATAGGCTTGATTGAAACACTTGTGCAATTTTTAGCAGAAATGAGAAGTCACAACTGCCTTCATATTTACAATGCTCCCTAACTTAGCTTTATATCTTTTTTGGCATTCATTTATCTAAGAAGGCTTTATTACAGTTAGATAAACAGTAATAATATTTTAAACTAATTTAAAATTTCAAAATTATTTATAGACATTACGCTACTTAACCTAAGTCACTCTTTTCCAAATTCTAAACTCTCAGGATCATAATCATTGGATATTTATTCTTCTTTAAAAAGAAACCTTTCAAAGACCTATGAAGGTTAACAGTTCAGAGGAATTGAGGTTATGTTCTACCTTTACTGTAGGAAAACAAATAGAGAAATTATGCCCAGATGACTGTTTGGTTATTAGCACTTGTTCCTGGTTAATTATTAAATGTTTTTACTTATAAAGTCTTAAGTCTTTCCACATGATATATTTGTACTGTTACTTAATATTTCATTCTTATTTGTCTTTAGGTCTACAGTGAATATAGAGCCAGTCTTGCTTTTGACCTTGTTAGCAGCCGACAGAAAAATGTGAGCATTTATCAGGGGCATAATCTGAAATTAACAAAGGCATAGTCTGTAATTAACTGAATAATGTTTAATTTAGCATGAAATATTGGCTAAAGGAAAGCTACATAAACTCTGTTTTCCACACTAAACATTTACAAATTAAGAAATAATAAAAAAAACTTTACCTAGTGTATGATTTCTGCCGCATTTTAAGTTACTCAACTTTTTATTTAAGACTTGTGAGCATTTAGATTTCTACATCATTTTATAGGTCCCAGGTTCTGTTCTTGCTCCATAGCCCCACCTGTTTATAACATTTGCTGGCAATAAGTGAGTAGTACTTTTAAAGTGCTTTTTAAATCCCATAAATCTGAATCTTTTGCTTGTTTCTCTGTTCAGGCATATACTGATTACAGCGACTCTGTAGCACGGAGGATGGGCTTTATTCCTCTCCCACTAGCTGTTTTAGTAAGTGCATATTTTTTAGTAGTTGTTGTAATGAAGTAGCCATTATTATAGAATATTCATAAATGTCTTATTAATAAGATTGTTTTAAAAGGACTTGATATAAAAATTAAGGGTAACTAACTTGGGAGAAAATTTTTTTTCAATTATAGCAGTATCTTATATATCCAAATATCTGTTGGTTGAGCCATCCAATAGATAAGTGATGCTAAGCTGCTTTTATGTAAATGGCTTTCTAACAATGAGAATACTCTTTTTTGATTATTCATTTAGTAAAAATATTTTTTAATGGAAATATCTGAGCATGGGCATTAACGTGGCCACTGTAACACATATTGGTGGAAGTATAGATTAATCCAGTATTTCTACAGGGCAATGTGAGAGCATCATGCTTTTAGTCATTTCATTTCTAGGAATTACCCTAAGAAGATAGTTATAAAAGACACACAATAATTTATAGCCAAAGGTATGCATTCAGTGACATTTGTAATACAAATTTAGGAAAAAAAGAAATAGGTTAAATAAATTATGGTGTGCCCAAATGAAGACATATTCTCTATCAGTTGTAATTAATACTTTTTAAAAAGTCCAAACTTTTTGCAAGGAAAATCTCTGCTTTTATACTCAAGAAATATGTATTAGAAAAAAAAATACTACTGAAACTTACTAAATCAACCCTCAACAAGTCATCAACTTTGAATGTTTCAATGAATTGCTCAGAACAGGCTTGCAAATAGTTTCTAGCCACATTAGACTATACTGTAATAATGTTAATTAAGAGGATTTCTTTAGCCTGGCGTGGTGTCATGGACCCATAGTCCTAGCTACTGCGGAGGCTGAGGCCAAAAAAAAAAAATTGCTGGCTGCACTTGTATTTGATTATGTTCCTTCTTGACTACCTATTCTAACATCAAAACAAATGCAACCAGTTGGGCGTGGTGGCTCACGCCTGTAATTCTAACACGTGAAGGCTGAGGCAGACAGATCACCTGAGGTGGACAGATCACCTGAGGTCAGGAGTTCAAGAACCAGCCTGGCTAACATGGTGAAACCCCATCTCTACTAAAAATATAAAAATTATCTGGGCGTGGGTGGTGGGCACCTGTAATCCCAGCTACATGGGAGGCTATGGTAGGAGAATCACTTGAACCTGGGAGGTGGAGGTTGCAGTGAGCTGAGATCATGCCACTGCACTGCAGCCTAGGCAAAAAGAGCAAGACTCCTTCTCAAAAACAGCAACAACAACAAAAACATAATGAAAAGGAAAAACAAATGCAACTGGCTTTTTTGCCAAAGGATATCTACTTTTCTTCTATAGCTGCAGTCTCATGCAACTCAACTAAGAAATGTGTAAAGAAAATGAAGGTCATATCAGCTATCTTTTAGGCCAGCTTCCTTGACTTTTTTTAGATGACAGATGATTAATAGGCTTAATGCTATTTAAATTTCAGTATGACTTTCCAGATAACTACATCCCTAAACATTTTTAATTATGTATTAATACCTTGTTTATTATATAATAATATAGCTTTCTTTTGCTTGGGAAAAGGAACTCTTAGAATTTTGGAAAAATGGAAGCTTCTAAATAATAAAATTATTTCTTAAAGGCTTAAGAGATTGATAAAATAGAATATTAAATATTTCTGCATTTGTTTACTACAACTAGAAACATACAAGTGTAAGGATAAACCTAGATTGGCTGATTTTTTTTTCAAAGATTGGTTAAATGGTTGGATTTAAATATGATCCTGCTTTGCCAAATAATAATTGACTTATTTGTCTAGTAACTTGTCAGAAAATTCATACTTACTATGAACTTTTATGATTTCGTATTTAAAAATTGTTCTTCATTCTTTTATTCTTTAAATGAGTTTTTATGGCTGTTATACCAAAAGATTTATGAATGATTAATAATTGACAAAACACTTTTGGAACACCTCTGGTGTGCTGAAAGGGGGGTTATATAATTTGTTCCTTCCACAGCACTTTGCTCACAGAACTTTGGCAGGCATCCAGGAGCCTTGACAAATATACCGAGGCCTCTGTGACAAGTTAATTCTTTAATCAAGGCACAAAGATGGCAATTTTTTCTTCTAAGTGTTACATTCCTAAAATGATTTTATATCCAAAAAAAGGAAGAGAAATTCTGTATTAAAATCTCATGGGAATTAGACTTTGGGTAAAAGTTACCTGATGTGCTAGATAGAAGTGAAGTTATTTAAGGCTTAAATGTGATCATTGGTTTGCCTTTCATATTAATGAACAAAATCCTAGAGTCATGTTAACTTCAGTCACAAATGCCTATACAGTAGACATTTCCCTGTTAGAGACTGAGACACAGCTGAGGGCTTTCATTCTCACTTTTCTCATAGTGAGAGTTTATTGAATATATGACAATCCATTGCCCCATCTCCTCCCAATTGTAAAGCATTTTAAAATTTACCATGATGTTTATTTAAGATACCTTAATAGACATTTGATAACTTGACATTACTGGATAAGGCCACTTCTCCCTAATTCTCTATTTCTCTTTTAACATATTGGGACAGCTGCACTTGTAATGTGCAGAAATTTTTCCTTAACTGATTCCACAAGAGTTATTCAGCAGACTTCTAAGGATAATGCTGTTATTCCTTTATTTCTGTGAAAGAAGTAAGAAAATGGATATTTAACTGTAACTATACATAAGAGAGAAATGCTTCAACGTTTAACTTTTTAATAGTGTTTCGTTTTTCTAAATACAAAACTTTTAAGGTTCCGTTTTCTCTGTGTTCTCTGTGAATTACTGGACATTCTTAAAAGAATCAAAGAAGAAAGGATGGGGTGGGGGGCAGGGGAAGGAACAGGAATAAGAAAATGCCCACCAAATGATTCTGGCTCTGGTGTGAACGCATGTAGCAAGATGAAATCATTGGTACTTTAAAGAATAATATAAAAATCAGCTGATTTGCATATCTGTGAGGTGTAAGTACATGTGTCATTCATGACTTTGATATAGGGCCAACCTCCGAGAGTCAACAAGAGTCAAACTGTTGCCTTAGCCACAGGCAACCCAGATTTGTCTGAACAAACCTAGATGTACCACAGAAGGTTTCACAAGCAGGCAGACTTTGATCCAAATCATCAAATCTGCCTTTTTTGATTTTTAGACAGAGGCCAGAGATGTATGCCTAAAATGTTAAAGTCAGCATGGAGAAATCTTTAAGTATTAACTAATAACTCTGTGGTTGTGTGTTCTGTTTGTGTGTTTTTGTTGTTTTGGTTTATTTCTGGCTAGCTCATCAGAGTTGTAACAAGCTCAATTAAAGTGCAAGGAATCCTGTCTTATGCCTGTGTCATACTCTTCTATTTTGGGTAAGATTACTCTTGAATATGTTTTTGGTTATACAGTAAAGCATAAATGCAAGATATAATGGAAGTTAATAGCATTCCAATCTTCTTGAATATGTTTTTGGTTATACAGTAAAGCATAAATGCAAGATATAATGGAAGTTAATAGCATTCCAATCATACTACTGCAAATCTATGCCAGGAGCTTCCTTTCAACAGCTATACCCCCAAGTGTATTTATGACTCAGTTAGATTAACTACACTGCTATTTGGCAGTAGTATTAATAGTACTTTAGAGTTTATTTTAATTTTTAGCAAAATCTTAAAGCCCTTTTTGCTTGAGACTTAGGTTTCACTCACATTTTCTTAGATGAATAAAAGTGTGCCATTGCAGACATGTTTTCACATTTAGAAACATCTTTAACCTTCTCATATATTTGCCACATTGAATTGTTCAGCACACTGTTAAGCCTGCATCACGTAAACCCAAAGGTAATGTACAAGTGTAGGTTTTCTCTCTATGGCCAGCTGAATCCATCTGCAGGTTTGTTGGTCTCATGAGCTTACATTATGGTTGGGGGAGACAAACAGTAAATTAACAACTGAATTAAAATAAATGGTATGAAGAAAATAACAATATAAAATGATGATTTTGCCTTTGTTACTTTTCTCAAGAAGTGAAATGATAAAGTAAACAGACCTGGCTTTCAATTAACTTATTGAAAAATGAAACAGGAAACGTGTTCCACCCTCACTTAGGTGGGATGCGTCAAGAGCTTCACTCAGGGAAGGGTGGCTTGAGAGAGGTCAGACTCGAATACCTCCAGATGAAAAAGGGTGGAAGGTAAGAACAGCAGTCACAACTTGAGCAGTGGATTTGCTTAGTGTTCCCCTAGGACAAGGTCTGGTTTCCAGAGACATCCATGGTGTTCCAGTTCTGTGGTTTTTCTTAGTGTGTTTTCCACCACGTTGTTTTTTGCCCAGGGCTTAGCATACTACCAGGCACATGCACAGGAAGCTTCTGTTGAAGTAGCATGGAAATCGACACTTACTGTCCAATTCCCACCTCTCCACCAAGTATCCTGAGTCGTGAGCCTGCTTCCCAGCTCCTGCAGTGCCTGGCTCAGGCCCTTGACCTGCAAAGCTGTGTTTAGGTCATGCAGCCAATTTCAGTGTTACACACAGCAGGATAAGGTTCTGATCACTCTGTACAGCATTGCCTATTTTTTGTTTGAATGAGTACATAAATGGTTTACTATATTAAGGTAACTCCCTCCGTTTTTTGACATTAAAAAACATTAAGACCTTCCTTTTCTAATATAGATTGTCACATTGCCCCTCAAAGTTCTTAACATTGTGCTGTGTTTACCAAGGGATATTGCAGTAATCGTAATGAGAATAGTTGTTTGGCAATCTAATTACTCTAGTAGTTTTTACATAATAATCAGGAAGTGAAGCATGTATATGCTATTCGTGTAAACCTTTGTTTAGTTACAGTTACCTGTGCATAGTTCACCAAAGGGGATATGCTTTAATCTGAGTTACTTAGAATTCAGGGCACCTGTCTCCCCAGCCTCCAGAGACACCTCCCTCCCCATGTTATGTTGCTTCACTTCTCCACTTGGATAGCACAGCCAGACAGATCTGCTCATTCACCTTTCTACTTCATTCGTCTACTCTAACACTCATCTCAGGGTAATTGCTAAATTATCCTCTTCTCCTTCAGAAGCTTTCTCAAAACTACCTTTTCCATGCCTTTATCAATTAACTCCACCAAGGAATCTGTCTTCAATAAAAAAAAAAAAAAAAAAGGAATTCAGTTGAGCCTTCTGATATAAAATGTTGAGATTTTTCCCCACACCAAGCTGCTTCTCTTTCCCTCCAGACTCACTCTTGCCAGCTAAGGTGGGACGACTTGCCAGCCTCTGCCACTACTGCTCTGTCCAGTGCTCCTCACAGAGCGACTATTCAGCATCAGGGCCTGGACTGGTCTGGGGCTTGTCCAAAAAGAAGCCAGACAAGTGCCCTGCCTTGATGTCACAGAAATCCCAGACAACAACTAGAAAAGTCACTCAAAATTGACAGTTGGTAGGAATCGTTAGGAAGAAAAGCATAACAGTGTGAGGAGATGAACGGCAGAGGCAGACACAGCTGCCTTAGAGAGGGTGGGCAGGTTAGGCCTCTCTGGTGAGCTGGTGTTTCAGAAAGGAAGGGAGCTGTGCAGCTGCCTAGGAAGAGCATAGGCTCAGCAGAAGGGCACAGGGACACAGTCCTGATGGAGGAACAGCAGGTTTCAGCAGCTGCAGTAGTCCATGAGCACCCGTGGAGGAGGAGGGCCTGGGCAGGGGAGAGCACGAGAGGAGCTGAGCAGAAGATGGCATGGTGGCTCATGCCTGTAGCCCCAGCTCTTTGGGAGGCTGGAGTGGGTGCTTGAGCCCAAGAGTTTGAGACCAGCCTGGACAACATAGCAAGACCCCATCTCTACAAAAAAGAAAATTAGCTAGGCGTGGTAGCATAAGCCTGTGGTCCCAGCTGTGCAGGAGGCTTAGGTGGGAGATTGCTTAAGCCCAGGAGTTCAAGGCTGCAGTAGGTCATGATCATGTCTCTGCACCGCAGATAGGTGACAGTGCAAGACTCTTGTCTCTTGAAAACAAAACAAAACAAAACAAAAAAACAGCTTATTCACTGGCTATAAAACTAGCATTGAGGTTAATGTGAGACTTTTTCTTCCCATAATTTTTTTCCACATTTATATTTAATCCCTTAAAATATTCATATTCTTTGACCCAGAAGTTTTATTTCTGTACTTATAAGTTATCTAGGAATTTATCCTAAGGAAATAGAGATTTAATGTGTTTTCTTAATCAGAGACTTTTTAGTAGAAGCAAAATATTGAAAGTAATCTAAATCTCCAGAAATAGGAGTCGTTTGGGGCTTTGTTATTTCATAACCCATAGAGTGAAATGTTATAAGGCCATTTAAAACAGTGTCACTAAGGAACATTAACTGATACAGAAAAAATATTCATGATACATTGTTATATAAATAACAGTAACAAAATTACTTGCCATTTCTATGTGCCAAGCACTGTTCTAAGCACCTTGCCTCACTGCTTTCCTTTCCATATTAGCTGGTTGAGTAACTTGCCTAGGTGCACACAGGTTTTAAGTAGCAGACTCAGGACCCACACAGACACACTTCACTCCAGGGTCCATGCTCTGCCTCCTGACTCTACTTGCCTACTGCCTTGTAAAATAAACCCTGTTTCAGCTCTCTGAGAAAAAAAAGTAAAAAAAAAGAAAAAAAGAAATAGACCCTGTTTCTAGACAGCAAGAAAGTAGAAATAGAAGTGTACTCAGAGAAGGTGACTGAAAGATAACATACTAAATGTCACAGTGATTATCATAAGGGTGTGGAATCATGTCATTTTCTTATTTTCTTTTTTGCTCATCTGCATGTGCTAAATGTATTTGTTGTGTAATAAAAGGATAAATGTTAAAATATTTAATACCAGGAAAAACTTCTAAGTGATAGAATTTCTTATAAGAGAACTAAGGAATTCCAAAGTTTTTCTTTGTGGCAAAGAATCCTCAGAAAACTCAAGATTGGTGTAAGGTCCTCTAACCTCTGACTTATCCCTGTCCCATGCCCCCCACCTTCTCCTTTGCCATGGTAGTATATGGCGTTCACAGGGATTTAGATGACTCCCAATGGATGTGGTTTGTTTTGTTTCTGTTTTTAGGTTGATATCCCTGAAAATACTAAATAGCATCGTGCTGTTGGGGAAATCGTGCCAGTATGTAAAGGAAGCCAAAATGGAAGAGAAGCTGTCAAATCCTCCCCCAAACAGCACTCCAGGCAAGCCGTCCAGTAAATCACAAAGCAAATGTAAACACTCTCAAGGTAGGTTTGGTCTCTTTCTTCACTTCCCTGAATCATATTCAAAGAGTTTAATCTTTGGTCAATGTTAAGCAACGCTTTAAAGATTGGTTTCATTTTGCGTAGGTTTTCAGGTCTTTTAATGGTTGTTTTAGATCCCATACTGTATATACCTGGCCTAGTGCTCTGAGTTTTTCTGTTCTGTTTACTCATTCGCTGTTCACTATTAAGCTCCTGTGACATGCCGGCTCCAGTGGATACAGCAGTAGGGTGGAAAGGCAATTCTCTGCTCCCATGGAGCTTGTTTTAGATTGTCGGGAAGAAAGGTAGTGAGAAGTCAATATGCACCATGTCAGGTGGCTGGGGGGGGTACTGCAGAGAAAACAAAAGCAGGACGGGGAAAGGGAAGTACAACAGTGAGTTGGGTGCTCCCCCAAGTGTGAGGAGATGGCACTGCTCAGAGTCCTGGAGCCTGAGAATAGCAAAGCCAGCCTCTCAGAGCACTTCCCGGGCAGAGGCCCAGCACACCCAGCGAAGGCACCAAGGCAGGAAGGTGCTTGGTGCATCAAAAGACAGTAAAAGCCAGGTGGCTGCCATGGCCCAGTCCCAGGGAAAAGAACTGGAATAGGGGTCTTGGGGGCCATGGAGGGCTGCAGGCTGTTATGAGGACGTTGACTTTGACTCCAGGTGGGAAGGGGGCTGTTGCAGGGCTTTGAGTGGAGCGGTGGCATGGTATAGCTCACATTTATTTAAAAGGATTATTCTTAACCTTTGCGGAAAATAAAGTCCAGAGGGGTGGGCCCAGAGGCAGGGGCCAGAGAGGCAGCTGCCTGGCGAGGAGCAAGGTAGGTGGTGTGAGCAGGGTGACCTGACCAGGTTCTGAATAGACCTGGGAGGTTTGCATGAACTATTTGTTGATGAGGAAGTTATGCAGTGTGAGAAGAGGGGAGTTCAGGATGATTCCAAGGTTTCTGGGTTGGAAGATTTGGAGGAAGACCTGGGACACTGATTAATTTTTATTGTTAGATGGCAGTTCCCTGTTCACAAAGGTATTTGTTCATATGACTTTTAGTTTAAATGGCTTATTTTTAAATGTGTGGAACAACTGTGTGCCAGGTAATAGAGGAGATGCTAAAGATAGATAAGTAAAGGATGCCCTTCAAGGTTTCGTGTAACTATAGGGGTCCACATAGGTGAGTAGAGGGTTTGGAGGGAGCGGAGAGGGCTCTTCTAAACTAAAGCTTGAAGGATGAAACTGGCCCAAGGAAGGCTGGTGGAAAGGACAGTCCAGAAGGGCCAGCACGAGTTAGATCATGGAGGCCTGGAAAAGCATCTAGAGAACTAGCAGCTTAATATTGCAGGTGTGGAGTGTGCTTCAGAAAGAGAGGGAGGAGAAGAGAGTTGGGCTGGACTGAAGTCCTACCTGAAAGGGGGACTGTGCTCATCGCGTGTACTAAATAGGGAGCAAAAATAAAGTAAAAAAAACAATGTGTATAATCATTGGGAAGTAATTATTTTCATTATGAGAACATAGAAGGACTATTAGTAATAAGGATTGCATTTTTTTCAGCCAACTAGGTAGTTCACAATGGGGCCTGTACGGGTTCTGTTAGTTAAGAAATTAGGCCATGCATGGTGGCATCCACCTTTAATAATCTCAGCACTTTGGGAGGCTGAAGCAGAAGCAGTGCATGAGCCCTGGAGTTTGAGACCAGCCTGGGCAACCTAGTGAGTCCCGTCTCTACAAAAAATATAAGAAGAGATTAATAAGCATCAGACGTGCTTTCAGGGAGGATCTAGTCTAATGGGGATAAAAGCCTTAAGCACGTACTGCAGGGCCAGGCCATTGACTCAGGGGTCATGTTATGAGAAGTGTATTCAGGACAAGGGTCTGAGTGTTTGCACAGAATGTCTTAGAGGTCAGGAGAACACAGACTAGAAACCATTCAGGAGGGTGTTGAAGTCAAGCTGGAGAGAGGGAAGGGGCCGTCTCTCAAGGCTGCATCAGACTTGTCACATAAAAGAGACAAAAGATAGCAGTCCTGGGGTTGGAGGCAGGAGAGTGAGATTACTGCAGGAGACCTGGATGTGTCATTACCTCCATCATGGCAGTGGTGTGACCAGGTGTATGCACATGTCGGAACTCATCAGATTACACATGTTAAATGTGAACAGCTGATGGTGTGTCTTTTTTTGCCTCAAAGAAGCTGTTCTTACAAGTATTGAATGTATGATTCAGATGAGTTACTCCAGGCCCCAGCCCAGCTGTCCCCAAAGCCAGGCTCCAGGATCTCTGTGGCCTAAAATAAACATTGGGGGTTTTGTTTATTTGTTCGTTTTCACCTCTGGTTTGGACTTCCCAGAAATAATTATGCTAATCCAACTGTAGCTGAAGTGACTACAGATAACAAGTGGAATGTATCAGAGTCTTCTTGGCCCACTCCCTGATGTTCTCAATAGGAGCAAATGTTAATTTTTCAGGACTGGCAACAGTCATGTTAGGTGTTGATTATATAGAGAGAAGCTGTAATGTAGGAGTTGTGATCTTTTCACAGTTGGGTGATGGCATTGTTTGTGTGATACAAGCAATGTAATGTACCCTTCCATAAAACTGAACAGATGATTCACCTCTAAGTTTTATTATAAAAGATGGCTGCTTATACAACATGCTATTTGGTTATCATTTGCTTTATCTAAAAGCATGTATAATGGGCACTCTTTTCAGCACCACTATATTGGTAAGTATGTATTTATTATGAATTGGGGAAAATATTTTCTCTAATTTAATGGATCCATTTTATCACAGGCCTTTCCACAGAAGAAAACCTGTCTGCCTCTGTCACCAACCAGCCTGTTCATCAAAAGGAAAATGTCACACCATTACTTGTTACAAGCAATTCAGATCAGTTTTTGACAACTCCAGATGGTGACGAGAAGGACATAACGCAGGACAATTCTGAATTAAAACACAGATCCTCAAAGAAAGATTTGTTAGAGATAGACAGGTTCACAATTTGCGGAAACCGAATTGACTGAATCTGTGGCTCCGTGTGCTGAAGAAGCTGGGTCCTGGGGCAGCAAGTGCTGTGTTGCCAGGATGGACAGATGCTAAACATGGCACTTAAATATTTATTTAAAAACTTAAATTATTATTGGCAAGCAAATCTTAGTATCTTTCTTCCAGTAATGTGGTCTGGCTGAGGGTCAGATCACAGGACAGGAGCAACCTCCAGCCTTGACTCTCTGGGAAACTTGATGGATTATAAAACTTCCTCCTGCTTGGCCATGCAGCAGTGTCACTTCTGGGACCTAACCAAGGCAACATCAAAATCTGTTTTGCTTTGTCAGTCTGGGCTTCCAGAATGTTGAATTTGCCTCAAGGCCTCTTCAGTATAGGGAAATACCTGGAAAACCGTGAGGCTTTTACCATGACGTTACCTTTCCAGTCTGATACTATTTTCACAAATAGTTTTCAAACTTTACTTCATCTGCCAAAGCATTAAAAAAAATATTAAACATAAGTCAAGATAAATGTTCTTACCACCAGAATAATCCTTAAAGATGTATCTTAATTAATCAGAGTAAAAGGCTACCTTAAATAAGACATGGTGAATAGTAGCACTTTGTAGGATAAACAAACGTTAAACCAGTTAATTTATTTTAAAATAATTAAGGAAGGCTATGCATTACTGGGAAAAATCCTTCATAATTTTTCAGTTTATTCTTTAAAGCAAAATGTGAACTGTATGTCATTTAATTGCAGTGGATAAAATACAATTGATTTCCTTACAAAAGGGCACTTTTTATACCAGGGAAGCAGAGCAGTGTTAACTTTAAGGTATACTTAACTGGTTTCGCTTTAAAACTAATTGCTTCATAAATTATTACAGCTAAAAGGATTTGGTGTTGAACAGGCTAAAAAATTATCAATGTACAAAATTCAAAACTGTCAACTGTAAAGTAAATGCTCCAAGTGTATTAGGCAGCATCATCTTGCTTGGGCTTGTCAAATGCATCACTCCTTCTGTTTGGGTTGACAGTCAACAGTGGGTGTGGCTGTGCTGGAGCAGGGTGTGTGTTCTGTGGGAGGGTGTCTGTGGGGATGTGACTGTCAGGGTGGGCCTGTGCTGGGGGCTGGAGCAGACCCTGGTCTGGAGAGGATTTTGTGTGGAGGTAAATGGGATATTTGAGGTGTATAGTTGGCTATCAGTGTGGGGAGACATCTGTGTATGGCTCTTGGGAACAGCAACCAAAAGGTGCTTTTTGGTTTTGAGATCAAGATTCTGTTTCCACTTAATTACTAGTTTGTGGCCTACATCATAGTTCAGGTTATTTCCCATCCCATTTTATCTTGAGAATCCTGTTTGCATTTCTGTAAAACTTCTACAACTTCTGATTTCAGAACTGTCCAGAAGATGGTACTGTTAACTGTTATTTCCTTTGATGTTTTGATTTTGAAGTTTAGCTCTCATGCAGATGTTTCAGGCATGTATATACAGAAGGCAAATTTTAGGTGATTTGTCTGTTTCTTGGATGAAATATAAAGCAAGCTTTAATGTTTTGACTTGTTCGTTTGAAATACAAAAAAAGTAAGTGAATTTTGATGTTTTGCATTAACTAAAGAAATCTGAAGATTAAACTTGATATTGTATGGACATGCCTTTGTGAAACCAGGAAGTATTTTATGTTAAAAATGAAAAAATCTTTTAATTGCTTTGTGTGTGTTTTAGTGGAGCCCCATTTTAGAATTACTAGTTTTTCCATCTCCCTTTACCAACAAAAGGAACAACGCCACAGTGAATGGAATAGTTTGGGGAAAGCTTTGCTAAACACAGCCCTGATTTCAGAGCAGGAATATGGTTTGGATAGATCTTCAATTCCGCTTGAATTCTGTTACTATGCTGTCATTTTCGGAAGATTTCCATTCCTTTGCAGAAGCTGTTGGGAGTTCTGGATTATGTTCATTTCTTCTGTTATAATGGCATTCAATACTAATTTTATAAGTGCATCTTGTGTGAAACTCAATAAATTCAATTTTGTAATCTTTTTTAAAAAGGTCACTGAATTTATTTTAATACTTACTTACTATTCGGTGGAGTGGATTTCCTACTCTATAGTAGGAATTTATTTGTAATTCATAAGTGATAGCACTATCTTAATTTGAATTATTGTTTTGGTCTTAATGGTGGCAAAATGTTTAATTTTGTCTTTGGAAAAAATAGGTTGGGTCTTGATTATAGACCATTTAATATTTCTCAGCAAATGATGGTATTTGCATTTTACACGTGTTTTGAATGTCACACAAAATATTTTTCACCTCTGGGAGTCAAGTTCAAGATGGTGTTTTGGTTTTTAAGAAAATCTAATTAAGGCACAGCATAGGCCAGACCCTTCTTAGATTTTCCTTTAGAATAAGTATAAAGACCAAGTGTCATTGATGCTTGCCCAGATTTTCTTGTGGACTTTGGCCAGTATTTTAGACTTTATATTCATTATACACAAAGTGAAAGAAAGTTGCTACGATTAGGTCATCAAAATATATCCTGCCACTCCCGCTAACTCACCAGAGGAGGCGATAAATTCACAAAATAATTTAGTATCTCTACATTGTTATATGTTTCCATTTTAACCATATTTTATCAAAAAAGATTTGTTAGGCTGGGCAAGGTAGCTCACACTTGTAATCCCTACACTTTGGGAGGCCAAGGTGGGTGGATCACATGAGGGCAGGAGTCCCAGACCAGCCTGACCAACATGGTGAAACCCCGTCTCTACTAAAAATACAAAAAAAAAAAAAAAAAAAAAAAACATAGCCAGGCTTAGTGGGAGGCTGAGGCAGGAGAATCACTTGAACCGAGGAGGTGGAGGTTGCAGTGAGCCAAGATCGCACCACTGGACTCCAGCCTAGGTGACAGAGTGAGACTCTGTCTCAAAAAACAAAAAACCCACAAAGATTTGTTAATCACTTCCTATGTGTCAGAAACTGTTTTAAGTGGTGGGATCAGCAATGAGCAAGATAAGTCCCTGTTCTTCTGCAGAAGACTGATAGGAACAAGTCAAAATGAAACAATGTCTTGATCACAGAGTGTCCACTGACCAATGATCTCTTAGGTTTATTTCAGCTGTAAAATATAGTTCTGTAAAATTTTTATCTAAGTCAGATTTTTCGCCTGTTGGATTTGGTTGAAGTAAGATAATTGATAGCAATTTTACAGTGCTTCTATAAAATACAAATAAGAAAATACCTTTTTCCTGAAGACTGCTAGTTGTCCAGCAGAATCCATCGTGTAGAGCTGTAGCTGGGTACATGCTGCTTGCTGGGGACTGCATTTCTCAGCCCTTTTTGCTGTTACCTGTGGCCAAGTGACTCATTCTCCACAGGGCATGTAAGTTGAAGGGGTATATCCCCATTATTGGGCTGGGACTCAAGACTGTGGGTGAGTCCCCCTCACCACCTCTGTCCCCTTCCCACAGATGGAACCTAGAGAAGGTAGTGACTTTGTCCCAGTCAGTGCCCATCATGGCAGAGCCATGAGAGAGAAGGAACCTGGGTCCCTGAATGCCACTGTAGAGCAGGGTTGCTGGTCAACTTGGAAAATTCCGCTTGACTATACATAAGAGAAAAACTCTTGAAATGCCATTGTTTCTAAGCCACTGAACCTGGAGGTTCTGTTCATGAAGTTAAGCCCACATTAGTTAGTACAATAGGAAATCTGAAAGGGACTATTTAGAGATCTTTACATAAAATGAGCGAGGTGTTACACCTATCTGGCTAAAACACATTCTTTTGAAAATTCTCTGGATACTCATTATTTATCTGGAAAAAGTAAAGATTATTCCACCCCACTTTTTCAGAGGTCAGACTCACAGCACCCTTGGCTGTCTTGAACTGAACATTAAACTTGCTCATAAGTGGCAAAGTTCTATTTGTCCATATATTCTATCAAATAGACATTTCTTGCCCTTTATCTCAGGAAAGTATATATAGTAAAAGAATAAATTGTAAGTACAGCTTAAGAGCAAGAAGAAGTGGAAACAAAAGGAGTTAATCAAGAGAGCAATAAAAATATATCTGAGGTCAATGATGCCATGCATGTGATCACTGATAAACCCGTATTACAGTTCAGTGTGATGTGTGGTATGCATTAAGTGCCTGAAATCTAGGATGATTTAGATGGTGTTCATTACATACAATTAAAGATTGTGTTTGTTTAATACAAATTAAGGTTTGTACAATTGAGAGGAGAAGTTGTTCAGAAAAAAATGGTATTCTAAGGGTGCTTGAATGATCTGAAAATTTTCCCCTGTAGGGAAGAACTAATGCTTAGCAGTGCTGACCAAACAAGGCATTGCTGTGCTAAATTTCATTACGAAAAGAGAATGAACATATCGGCAAGTTGGCAAAAGGCACAGTTATGCATAGTGTAGTAAAGTTGTATTTGAGTTTTTTTGATATTTAAAGTAGTGAAAAAGAAGGTAGGTGTAGGTGTCAATACAATATATGATTTTTTTTTTTTTTTTTTTTTTTTGGCTTGTAAGGAAACCAAGGGAGGTCTAGAGGGCACATTTGGCATCTTTTTAAAGATAGTAGCTCAGGAACTAATATGCTCTTGCAGGGTGAACAACCTACAAAGTGGATAGTTAATTTTGAAACTGCAATTATTTTCAATAAGCACACTCTCATTCCATTTTTAATACGTCAACATAAGAATGTAAATACTGGGAAGGTTAGAAATAGCCATGATGTCAAGTTTAACCAGGTAAGTGAAACGTATAACAAGGAAAAGGCATAAGAAGATTGTTAGACTTATTTTCACAAATATTAATTGGATAGTCACTGGGCAGGGCACAGAAATGAAGGAGCTATGCTTTCTGCTCACGGGGCTTATCTGTAGTCTGACAGTGAAAAGTCCAAGATTCTTAGCAAGGCATTAAAGGTTGGGGGCTGACAGTTAAACCGGCCCAGCAATTACAGCCCTGTGTGATAAGCACCACCATAAACCAAGGCTCTAGCTGCAGCAGAACGTTCAACTACATTCACCGCTGTAGCCCTCACACCTTGTTCCTGGCACACACAGCCAGGCAATAAACATTTATTGTTGGATGAAGGAAACATAGGAGCCATTGTAGAAGGTGTGTACTTGGGCCACCTTGAAAAAAGTAGAAATTAGATGGATAAGAAGAGAGAAGAAGGAAAAGGTATGAATGAACAAAAGAGGAAAGAGCACAGCAGAGCTGCAGTGAAGGTTTCCTCTCCCTGGTTAAACATCAGGGCCTGTTAAATGCCAGCTGTCATGCTGGGAACACAAAAGGGACACGAGATGGCGGATGGAGGCAGGGGCTAGATCTCAGAGAGCTCTTAATGCCTTGCTAAGAATTTTAGACTGTTAATCCTAAAGACAAAGGGTCGAGGAGCTTAAGCAGAATTTTAAGTTGTTGTAATTATCAAATGAGAAGAGAAATGAAAAAGAAACTACTTTGTAAACTGAAATGCTATGATCAGATCAATGTTTCAGAAGTCAGGCTGGCGGCCTTGTGAAGGATTATTGTATAATCGCTTTTGTTGTGTTCGTGTGAAAGCAGGGCTAAGCTCATTTTCTACATCCTTCTCATTGAACCTTTATGTCTCTCTAAAGTAGACGCTGTTACCCCATTTTATAAGTAGAAAATTGTGGCTTAGAAAGGCTAAGTAACTTGTTCAGGGTCACACAGGGAGCAAAGAGCATAGCAGAAAGTTAAACCCCTTTCCTGAACTGAAAAACCTGTACTCAAGCTCCCTGCCTTCTGCTCTTTACGGAGAAGGGAGAAACCAGGCAAGGAAACCCCTTAGGGAGGTGCCTGCAGCCACTTATGCCAGAGTCCGAGGGCTTCAGGGATGTAGGGTGTACTGAGCTCTGGGATATTTGCCCCTCTGAGATGCTCTGGAGAGCTAGACTGCCATGTGATGTTGGAGTCAAGACCTTGCTCTATGCAACACAACCAACCTCAGTCTCCTCATCTGCAAATCAGCGATCAGAATATCCACTTCTCAGGCTTGTGAAGAGCAAATCAGATAATGCATCAGAAACTGTTTGTGAAGGCAACACACATGTCTAAGCTACACTGACTCAGCCCAGATCAGTGATCCCCACGGTGTGGTCTCCGGGCCAGTGGCTTCACATCACCTGGGAACAGACCAGAAATGCAGATCCTTGGGCCCTGCCCAGAGCCGAATTAGAAACTTCAGGGGTGGAGATGGACAATCTGTTTTGTTTGTTTGTTTGTTTGTTTGTTTGTTTAGATGGAGTCGTCGTTTTTTGAGATGGATTCCCCCTGTGTCACCAGGTTAGAGTTCAGTGGCACAATCTTGGCTCACTGCAACCTCTGCCTCCCAGGTTCAAGGGATTCTCCTGCCTCAGCCTCCCAAGTAGCTGGAATTACAGGTGTGCGCCACCATGCCAGGCTTATTTTTGTGTTTTTAGTAGAGACAGGGTTTTACCATGTTGGCCAGGCTGGTCTTGAACCCCTGACCTCAAGTGATCCACCCGCCTAGGCTTCTCAAAGTGCTGGGATTACAGGTGTAAGGCACTGCACCCGGCCAGGACAATCTGTTTTAACAGGCCCCCAGGTGAGTCTGCCCACTAAAGTATGGAAACCCTGGAAAATCATCCTTTAGGATCTGGACCTCAGGGTGATGGGTCCAGCAACTCACCTCTCTCTACTTTTTCCATAGTAAATATTGCAGAGACTAAAACAGGATTCCAGGGCCAGAATTTCTCTAGCATATGCCTACTTTCTGTTTAAAATCCAGGATTGCTATCACTCACACAAAGCCAAGCAGCTAGACGGAGGCAGAGCAGGGTAGGACCAGGGGCTTCTAGATTTTCCTAAATGCCCTGCACTCCTTCTGCTGCATCCTCAGGGTTCCATCCCCATCCCCTGGCAACAGTACCTTTCAGACGAGTCCTGCAGAAATCATAGAGCACCCAAGATACCAAAACTTTAATCACCAAGAGTTGGGGAAGGGAGAAAGGATATACAATCCATTAAGTGGCGTGATTCAGCACCAAAGCACT